ATCATGCCAGGAATGGAGAAGGTGGCTATTGCAAAGGTAGAACTAGAGCGTCATGCTACGTTGATAGCGCAACCTGTCAGAATCTAGATACACCATGTGCGCTGTATCCCGCGACTGACAGGATATGCAAAATGTCTTAAACAGGAAGGGGTGGGACTAATTTAGTTTAGGGATGGGGGTGCTCGGGTTTAGTCTTGCCTAGGGCAGCACAAAACCAAAATACATCACTGGTCAGGCGTACATAATGCACAAAGCCCAGCAGTCAAACAAATTGGTGCTTGGTGACCCTGGACGTGAGGCCGCTGGCTGCTTCTCGAGTTTACTCGTCGCCTGGAGCGTTGAGGCATGGGGCAAGACACTTCCGGGAGATCCGGCTGGAGCCAGTCCTGAACCGCCACCGATCGCTTTCCAGGAAAATGAAGAGGTCTGGCAGTTGGTCTGGGTGCCTCAGAATGAAGGACTCCCCCCCTCTGCGGATATTCAGGCAGAAGGGGTATCCCCAGGAGTAGAGGGCTCCAGCCCTCCGGATTTCAATGAGAAGCGGTTGTAGAAGTCTCCGCATTTGCAGGGTGCGTCTGGATAAATCCGGGAGGAGCGTTACCTCCGTCCCCTCAAATGCGACCGGGCCCTTGCGCCAGGCTTGGCGGATAATTGTGTCCTTAACTGTAAAGTAGTGAATGCGGCAAAGTACGTCCCGGGGTCGGGAGTCCCCGTTGGAGCGTGGGCCCCCCACCCTGTGCACACGGTCAATCTCCAGGGGTGCACCCGGGGGTTTATCCATAATGGTGTTGAGTATCATGGAGACCGCCGGCCGCAGATCCGCGGGTGTCGTCGTCTCTGGAATGCCGCGCGAGCGATTTTCCAGGTCGTCATGGGCCAGGGTTAGTGTTGTAAGGCGGGCGTCTTGGCATATGACTCTGGATTCCAGTGCTGCCAGCCGTTGGGATACCCCCTCATGATGAGAGTGCAGAGAAGTGACCCGTGTCTCAAGCTGGGAGACCGTGGATGACACTCCGGCTATATCCCTCTTAAGGGCCGCCTCCATCCTGGATACCATCTCCACCATGTCCTGCTTAGTTGGCAGGGAGAGTAGGATGGACGAGATCTCTCCCGCCGAGAGGGTCGGTGCAGCGGCCATTGAGCGGGCAGTGTCCCGTGACTGGTGAGCGGAGCAATCCATTACCGGGTCAGCCGGGTCTTGCGGCGTCTCGTCATAGAGGAGCGCACGGCCGTCCGAGGTAGAGGGAAGAGGAGAGCCCGGCGGGTCTCGGGGAGCCGCGGTCGTAGCAGGCCTCGACGGCTCGAACAGAGTCATGCGGCCTGCGGTGGAGGATCGGGTAGAGGAGGCCGGGGAAGCGAAAAAGTGGTGGAGGTCTCTACTGTTCCGTCCGCCTTCGGTTCCCGAGGATTTGCCCTTCTTGGACATAGATAAAGGTAGGCAGGTTGACGAAGATCTACTGCTAGATGCTGGGGGTGGTAGCAGAGCTCAAGCGAGTTGCGTCCTTACACCACCAAAGCTAGGCCACGCCCCCCAAACAAATTACTTTAACAAACAAGAGTTCCACCCTCCTCCAAAGACCATCCCCCAGGTCAAAACTGCACCCGACAAGAATGCCCCCTCACCTTCCTGTACTCTATGTACTCAACTTGCTTTCCATCTGTTGGTAAGTGTCCTAGGTTTGATGCCACTACCATATTTTTTTCTTTGTGTGGTTCGGCAGATGACTTCTGCCCTGCCTGCTTGCCCATCAGCTGCACGTTAGGTCTGCAGTACAGAGCCAAGGAAAAGGTTTGGGGCACTTCCCTTGGCTTTATGCTGCAGGTCAGACAGATGGTGGGTGGATCAGCAGGTGGGGACAGAAGCTGCCAGCTGCTCAAGCACACAAACAAAGAAAAAAATATGGGTGGCAGAAGAGTTGGAATCCGGAGCACTCACTCCAGAGGCCAAGTGCTATCGATGCCCATGGCGCACAAATCATTTTAATGGAGAACAATATTGAGTGATTGATTCTGGAAAACAGAAGTGCTGTTTCTTGCATGCAGAGGTTCAACATGCTAGAAAAGTCCTACAGAATCAACCACCAATTTGTTCTATTTATCAGACCCACATCTGTTTATCAGCCATCATAAGGGAAAGTCTAAAGTTTATCAATTACTAATTATGTATTGATTTTCCCTCTTTGCTGTTCAGAGGTCTGCATCCTATTACTACTTAAAATTAGCTATTCATTAAGGTGATTGTTTAGGATACTCTTCCAATTATGTAAGTATATCTGGTATATATATTGTAGTCTTGAAATATCTAATGTGATCCTGAATCATAGTCAGGTTGGAGTCAGATTCTGAAATACAGATAAGAGGAAGATTACCGTATATTTTTTTATATTCTAATAATCAAATATGTGATGATATTTGTTTGTGCCCATTCACTTTGTGTGTACTCGGTAATATTTGCACTTTTGGTATTACTTTCAGACAAAAAGCCTTGTGGTCTTGATGTATTGTCATGGCTAGAGAAACTCTCGAAAGGTTCAGTCAGTGTTCAAAAAATTCGGGAACATCTGAAATGTTACATTTCTGAGCCAAAATTCCCAGTTGAATCAATCCAAATCAATACCAGGCTTCAAAAAGTGTGTATTGCAGAACAGCAAGTTATGCAACATGGCACAGATTGGTTTGGGAAGCTCTTGGCAGCCCTGCCTGGCCGACGAAATGATTGAGCCTAAAAACAGCATGAGAAATGTTCCTTTAAAATTTCTACCAGGGATACTAATATAGAAGAGTGGAACCTGGTAGCACTGGCAGTCATGCTAAGAGTGGCCAGGCAACAGTAGAAGCAGATATATAGTAGAAACAGTCTTTGAAGCAGCGTTTGGTTCCTTTCTCCCGGGAGCCACTTTGGAATCCAAACTGCCAATAAATGAAAGTGAACTTGGATTTGGCACAGTACATTTAAACTTATGTCAAGGAGTCTAACATAATCCAAATTTCTGGATCAACTCTATTCATGGCTGATTGTTTGTCTGTGTAGAGGTGAGATGGACATTGGGGGACAAAAAGAGGGTGCACACTAACAAAAAAAGCAGTAATTAATAAGATCTAACTGGCATATGGATTACACTCACTGTTGCCTTAAGAAAGGAACAAATAATGTGTAGGAGGAGAAACCATATAGCAGTCTGATGATGTGGTGTTCCTCAAAGGTATCTGGAAATGTGTCTTTGACACGTGGTGGTTTAAAGTGATGAATAATAAACTTGGCGGACAAGGGCTCAAGTGGGATAGCTAATGAGGCAATGTGAGCTACACTTATGAAAAACAAAGGATGCTTTATTAATAACTACTAAATAATGCATTGTGTGGCTAATACTGGTAACTCCAATTGATTCTGCAAAAGCTGATTAAGTACCCAGTGCTAACCAAGAAGGGAGTTCTTCAGAAGCTATATAGCCTGTTCAATAATGGGAATTATGCACCCAGTTTACCACAAGGTACTACAAATCATGGAATACACTAGACCATTGAAATAAATGCCTGAATTAGGTAAAATAATTAGTAAATTCGAATGTCAAGTCCTCAACACTGTCAACCTTATCATAAGGGTACCATAAGGCTACTAGTAACAACAGTGTACAATTGTACACGTTTTTGGATAGCCATAGGAGGCATCAATTTAATGGGTGGAGCCTTTTCTTTAGAGAACTTCATGTGTGCTAGTAAAATCATGAAAAATACTTTCATCCTGAGCAAAGATGGCATACCTTGTCCCTCTATTTTGATTTTGTGGTACTTGCTATAATAACACTACCAGGCATTAGGATTCACAATAATTCATGTGCATGTTAAAAATTAAATGCACACTTACAGTAACTACTATTAATTGTTGTAAAACTTGTAACAATACTAACTATGACAACTTGCCAGACCAGTAAAAACCCAATCAGGTTTAGGGGAAAGCCACAAAAAAAAACATTTTCCCTGGTGTTTTAAATTAACTCAGTTTAGTGTGGCTGTCATAAAATGTACATAATTTAGGGAACTACCCCCAAATACATGTAAGATCAACTAGCCACAAATTCATTCCTCTTGCTCAAAAATAATCAATGATATACCCAATATCATATTAAAATAACAGTTCACCTTAGATGCAACGGTTCCTAGTACCTGAGCTTGCACAAGCCTTAACCATGACAAGATTTACTATCGCAGCAGAATCTACAATCAACTAATGCCCCCCCTTCAGTTTCATTGCCCTCAAATATGAACTACCAATAGCCAGATATTAGATATTTGATATGCACATTGTCCATACAATCTAATGCATTGAAATATTTGCTGCAACAAGGAAACAAAAAACATGTGAAAACATTAAATCATAACTGAAATATAATAGAACAAAACCTGATGGCTACAAAGCTACTTCAAAGAAAAATAAATCTGTCTGTCCATCACAGACATCAAAGACATTCATTCCTCATGGTGATCCTCAAGAATTACAATATGCAGCAAATATTATAATGAATGACCTTGACAGAACACACTTAGGACAAATGGACTTGAAATTGTTTACCAATTTTCACATGAAATCTAAGAAGCTGCATTGATCACGGCTGAGTCTATCTGTTATATAATTGTATTTTTATGGTTTGAGTAAACTGCAGCCTTGCGAAGTACACATACAAGATATGATTAATATACAGTACCTTGGAACAATATTATGGAATATAATCACATTTCATTATTAGCCATACACACATTTGGATACGTATGGATTAGCAGAGGTTAATGGAAGCATACGCTTGATAGTTGCTACAGTTATGTCAAGTATACAGTACAATGCAGGTACATAAAGCTTTGGCTTCTTGCAATCAACAGCACTGGCTGCTTCAGCAATCACAGAGCATCAGCCTGAGAAACACAACATTCTCAATCATCCCAAATCATAAACCATATAAAGCTCACTAATTAAACACATACAGACTTGTAAAAGAAGTACTCACAGCATTTAATAAAATGATAGTGAGACATTTTTCAATCTTGCCCGGTAGCCTGGGTCCAGTTATCTGCATTCTTCTCTGCTAAAACTCTTGTGCATAGACGTGCATTATTTAGACTCCTCCATCAGGTATCCGATTCACCCCTCAATGCATTATTTATTCAATACAGCTTATATTCCAAGGTACTGAAGAGGCTTTCTATTCATTTTCACCTGTCTGCTGAAGTTACCGTAGACCTGTACGTGTGTCTTGAAGCATAGCCACTGCACGTGCCAGCGTAGTATATGTGCTATGGGTTCCTATTAATCCTACATCATTGGGAAGAGAGGGATATGACTGGTGTGCAGGCTCATTCCTTCAGATTAGAGGTGTGATGCTGCTTCTGCAGCACTGCGGCTCTCACAATCTTGTCTGTTAATAGCTTTCTATAGTGTTCGGATAGCAGCAAAGAAAGATTGCTGGCTTAATTGTACGAAGTTGCAGAAAAAAAAAAAAAAAGGGGGGGTGTCACATTGTACTACTGAAGCATGCCTTCAGTCATACATGACTAGATTCCTTGCTGCTGTTAATAAAGATTATTTTTAGGCACCAGCAGTTGTTGTGTGACACAGGCTGGCATAACAGCTGTTCAAAATAATCTCTATTCAGCATTTTGAATTTTTATCCATTTGCCAAAAGAAAGGTTCAAATTGAAACCTGACTCCACAGATGTAACACTAGGATGAACAAAAGAGTCTTGGCAAAAGAAGTCGATCTGTGTTTGTCTTTAACTGCCATGTCTTATGTTGTACATTAACTTCATAACTCATAGATTGTCCCAAAGCATAAAATAAGAGAATTTAGAATGTCAGACACTGAAACATATAATCCCTTATTGAACAGACTGGGACCCACTACTATTTATCTTGCAATTTTGCTAATGGATAAGCTTAACGCATGTGTAATTGGCATTAACTTTTTTTCTTCAATACCTTCCAACACCAAGACTTTCAAACGAGTTGCAAAATGCATAAACATCATAACATTCTCTGAGTGTGCAATGAGGAGTGCCGAGTACATGGAGGTAGTGTCATAGAACTTACAAATTTGGGGTGACTCTCCCCCTTATTTTGGTTCAGAAGATGGGATGACATCATCTGAATCAATTAAAGACTTTGCAACAAATAACTGAGTTGTACAACTATCTTTACTAGATGCTCTTTACCTGGGCTGTCCCTTTAATGATGCAGCCTGAGGCTGTTGCCTCAAGCGGCATCTCTTTGGGTCACGTGGAGTGGCGGTAGGCAGAGCAGCATGGCCGCTCTGCTGCACAATGCTTGCAATGTGCCTGCCACCCACTTTCCAGCTACAGCATCCAAGGTGGCTAAGAGCCAGGTGGGGAGAAGTTTAAGCGCCATACACATCTCCCGCCCAGCTCTGAGCAACCTGGGATGCTTTGGCCGGCGTCTACCCGGCACTACCACAGCCGTCACCCCCACCACCTCAGGCAACAAAAAAGGCTAGGGACAACACACGCTCACAAGTTAATTGCCTGATGAACTAGCACCTCAGTTCTGTCAGGTGTCGAGCAGCCTAGGGCTGTAACACAATTCCCTCACATCACCACTGTTGCACCCTCAATCAGGAAGACAACTGTAAAACAGAACCTCAATCAAAACACATCCAGCATTACCACTGTACACCTAAGACACTTGAATGTCATAACACGCATTTCCAACAGCCAGTATCACTTGTTGCTGCCTCCGAAGCCCTATATGGTCCAATCCTAACAAATAAAATCTGCTCAAATATAAACATTTTCAAGTAAAGTGTAAGTAATTATTTTAAATATTTTAACCTACTCAAAGCAGTAATGATGTGCTCAATGTAGTGCTCGCCACAGCCAGTAAGAATTCAGTTTACTAGAATAATAAACTGTGAATCCCATGTGGTAGCTGGGTTTTTTTGTTTGTTTTTTTAAGCAAAAAAATGCCCCCCCCCCCCACTTTTAAAAATCGGAACTGCGCATGTGCCCACCCCAAGATCCTTTGCGGCCGTACAAGCAGTTCCTGATCCTCGGCGCAGGAGCGCGCAGCGATAACGAGGTAAGTTTAAACCTAGTTAAAGCGTTTTTTTGTTTTGTTTAAACTCCTTGCCTATATCTACTGCTTGCTAGCAGTAGATATAGGCAAAAAAAAAAAACGGAGGGTTTAGAACCCCTTTAACCTTGTATTGCCTTACTGAATATGCTCGCAGGTAGTGAGAAAATAAAACTATTTGTTCACATATATCAGTAATCCTCCAAAAACAGAACAGGCCAAATCCTTCACACCCCTCCAAATCCTATGAGTAAATATTTATCCAGTCATATCAGAAAAGCCAGCAAGAGCAATCCATAAACACAAGGAGAAATACGATAAGGTGATGTGAAAAAGTAAGTACACACTATAGAAATTGTTGACTTTTTCAACACATTTGAACAGGCAAACATTAAATCTTTATTCAAACAGTGTGTGTCTTCAGAAAAAGGTAATATACTTAAATTAAAACACAAGCGAAAATTGCCTTTTCTTACATTTATTCAACAAAAGTATTAATGGAAGTAATTGTGTACTATGGAAAAAGTAAATACATTTTTAGTATCAGAAGTTGGTATTGCCCCATTTAGCAGAAATGGCTCTGTGTAGATGTTTTGCTATACTGCCCACCCGTTTTTAGTTTTCAACTACTCACTCTGGTGTTGACCACCCCTCCATACAAAATTTGATAATTTACTAGATGCTTGAGGGTTTTCTTGCATGAACTCCCTGTTTCAAATACCTCCTCCCACAAAATTGCAATGGGATTCAAATCAAGGCTTTGGCAAGGTCAGTCCATAACCCTCCATTTCTCCTTTCTGACCAATTCTTTGGTGGATTTGCTACTGTGCTTCAGATCATTATCATTTTAAAGGTCCCATTTCTGGTTCAAATTCAGCTGTTGAACAGATGGCCTTGCATTCTCATCAAGTCCACTTTGATATAATGCAGAATTTATAGTTGACTCAATGATTGCAAGCTGCTCAGGCCCTAAATCAGAAAAACAAACCGCCAAACAGGTCTACTATTACTGTAGCCAAACATCTCTACTTTAGATTCATCAGCCCACATCATATTGTTCCACAAGGCAATGTTCAGTGGCAAACCCTAGTCCTGCTCTTATGTTCTTTTTGGACAGTAAAAGCTTTTTCCTAAACACCTCCCATGCAGGTTACATTGATGTAATCTTTTTCTGATTGTAAATGAATGTACTTCAACTATTGCAAGAGTTACCTGCAGGTCTCACGATAAAATATGGGGTTCTTGGAGACTTCTTTTAGCATCAAATGGACAGCTCTTGGGGTAAATTTGCTGGGCCAGCCAGTCCTGGTTAAAATAGCTGTCAATTGAAATATACTCCACTTGTGGATTATTTTCCTTGCAGTGGAATAATTGATTTTTATTGGGGGGGGGGGGGAATGATGATGTCACACGTCGACACCAGAGACAACACCAGACCCTAAATATATAAGGTTTAAAAAAGACAGGTTCTACCTGCATACTCCTCAAAGACGGTTCTAATTATTTGCACCTAATTTGATTCTAATTTAATTGCTTTGAAAGGGCGGTAAACATAGGGATGTACATACTTTTTCTCCGTGACAGATCTGCATTTTCAATCATTTAGAATATGGGGATGAAACACCATGTTTCACCAGGAATAAAACCTTTATCTGTAAGCACTGTTTGAATGAATTTTAATGTTTTCCTGTTCAGATATTATAAAAACCAGCAATGATAAAAACCAGCAACTTACCCTTTGAAATGACTGTAAATTAGGGATATACCGATACCAGCTTTTCGGTATAGTGTACCGATACACGTACTGTGTGCCCCAATGATCAGGAAGTCGGGCGGTGGATCATGACCCGATGCCCGGCTACCTGATTGCCTGGAAAGCCGGTGTTCTATTGAAAGAACACCGGCATTACTTGCCGAGGCTGCCTGGCTTCCTGACCAATCAGGAAGCTGCGCAGCTGGTTATACGGCTTCCTAATCGGTCAAGAAGCCAGGCTGCCTAGCAACAAGTGAAGCCCGATTCCTAGCCAAATAGAAAGCCGGCGGCACTTCATGACCCACCTCCCAGCTTCCTGATTGGCTAGGAAGAGGGCTTCACTTGTTGCTAGGCAGCGTGGCTTCCTGACCAATCAGGTAGCCAGCAGGAGAGTCATGACATGGCTGATAGAAAGCCTACTTGAATATACAGAATGACCCTGATGGCACAGGCATATTCCAAAATGACAAAGCCAGGATTTATCAGGCTCATATTGTGAAAGAGTAATTTAAGAAGTAATTTAAGAAACATGAGACATAATTTTCACATATGGATTGGCCACCACAGAGTCCAGACCTTAATCCCATTGAGAATCTTTGGGATATGGCGGAGAAGACTTGATTCAATGGTCTGACTCTCCCATCATCACTAGAAGATTTTGGCAAAAAATTAATGCAACTCTGGATGGAAATAAATGTTCTGACATTGCATAAGCTCATCGAAATGATGCCTCGGCGAATGTGTGTCGTAATGGTATTACGACACAAAAGGCGACACAAAAGGCAGTCCAACAAAATATTAGTGTGTGATTTTTTTTTTGGGGGGGGGGGGGCAGGCAGTGTATATGCAAATTAATGTATGATTAATTAAAAGATAAGGATGAAGTTTGGAGTACAGAGTTAGTCTTCAGGAAACACAATTAAAAATTGTCTCATAGTTTTTATTTTATTTTGTCTTTGGATAAAGCAGTGCCATAGTTAAACATCATAGACTTCCAATTGTACTGAACAGAAACAGAGAGTTCAATGAGGAAAAAAAATGTTTTACATTGCAGCAATAAAATAAAAACTCATGAAGTTAAGCTGGCCATACAGTAGTTTTCCAAATGAACGCTCATATGAAAGATCTTTCGTAGCAATCTGATAATGCCATCAGACACTTGACAAATGCTGATTGATTTTTCGTTTAAATCTAACGTTCGATTTTAGAATGAATGGCATTTCCTGAATGAAAACCACATTCACTGTTAGAATTTTGTTTGTTTGAGAACATTTTCCATCCTGCTCCTTCAAGTTTTTTCATCACTAGGGTCGAATTTGATCGCTGATTTGACCCCATCAACTAATAGAAAGAAAGTTCTTTCATATGAAAGTGCTTTCGAAAATCTAAGCAGTGTATGGCCAGCTTTACACTTGTTCTAGAGTGGGGGAGAGAGTTTGATGAGAACAAAAAAAAAGAAGTTTAAAATGAAAAGGATCCACAAGCTATTTAAGGATCTTTACTGCATTCAA